TCAGCCGGTTCGCACCACTTCGGGAGAACCGGTTGTTAACTTTCTGAGCAGTTTGGTGAAGTGGCTCTTAGAAGAAATCATTAGGGCAGAGAACCAGTTGTTAAATTATTTGAATCCCACCACTGGTTCCAGGCCATGATGCAGTCCCACTGAAACAAGGCCCTCCTGCTCTTTGCCACCAGCGGCACTTCCCTCCAGCCTTCGGCCAAAGCCCCGTACCAGCAGTTTGAAGCAGACCCCAAGTCGGAATTTCTGCCCCCCTCTGACCCTTACAAAAAGACCCTGAAGGGATAGATTCTCTGCAGCAACACAAACGTTCATTGAATGTATTGTCCCAGGGACCGTAGTTTGAGGACCCTGGTTTAGTGCAATATAAAAAATGCTAATAATTTTTCTGCAGACCACCAAAATTTTCTCATGGACCACAGTGATCCATGGACCACCAGTTCGTGACCGCTGCCCTATACCATTTCAGACAAATCTCAAAAATGTCCAGTGTTGGCGCATTTACAACTTCTGGAGGCAGGTTGTTCAACTAATTAATTGTTCTAACTATCAGGAAATTTCTCCTTAGTTCTAGGTTGCTTCTCTCCTTGATTAGTTTCCACCCATTGCTTCTTAAATAAAATAAAAACTATCTTGCAACCATATCTGTAATATCAACAAACACCTGCATCTGCTTTGGAAAGGATTTAATAGATTGATAAAAATGCCAAATCCAGCCAGAACATCTGACTGACTGTATGGAGTAAAGGAGTAAATAAACTAGACCACATAAAATCTACTAACAATACATAACTTATTAGGTAAAACGTATACAACATAAAACATAAAAGTCATGGAAGCCTCTCGCCACAATGAGCTCCTCAAACAGTGAAAAGCTGCTATTCCTCAGAATCAATGAAAAGAACAACTTTCAAATGTGTTTTAAAACTTTAAGGAAAACTCTCCAAAGAGAAGGGTGTGTGTTGCGAAGGAAACATGGAAAATGTTGGCCTCGCCCATGTAAGTGTGCCCACTGAGAATGTTGCTCACCCACATTGCGAGACAAATATTGACTGGTGTGTGGTAGGCTAGGATGCTGTGGAAGAGCATCCTTGTGTAACCTAAGAAGGCTGGCTGGGAATCTGCGAGTCCTTCCAAACCACTGGTGGGACTGGATCAAGAAAAGAATGCCTT